CATAAAATTGAGGCAGAATTAGCTTATTCACTGCTTTTCAACAAAGTTTATCTTAATAAAAAAGAAAAGGATTTAGGTTGGCTAGATGTGTTTCCATATCACCTAGAACTATTTTCAACCTCTCGAACAATTTTGAGTGAAATTAAAGAGCTAATATCCCAAGAACCAATTCCATCTGAAAAGCTTGGATTTTTTTCCACAGTAACATCTAAAACTTTATCAAAATATAATTTTAGTAGTTTAAATATTGATATAGTGCCAATTTTCGATAACCCAACTGAACTTTTGTCAGAACTTGAAATTTTGCTTTGTTTTTTGAAACGAACTTCTGGTGATCGTGAAATGGAAATAACCAATTATCTTAATAAATGGATGCGATTATCAACACTAACAGAAAATCAGCAATTTCAGAAAATGGTTAACGGACTGAGATTAAAACATGTAGTTGCATTATACGAATTAGTGGAAGAAAAAATTGCGGATGTAGAAATTGAATATTTATCCGATCAATATAAAGTTCAGCTCTCAGAACATTTAAAAAATGAAATTAACTCAGGCATAAACTTTGAACAATCACATAGTACTGGTGGCAGTGAAATCAGCGAACATAAGATTCCACATGGAGCTTTTGCTTTAGTATTAAAAAGGTTCATGTTCCGGTATTTGACATCGGAAATGTATAACCCTAATGAGATGCTTGCCAATTATTTGGCCAGAGATACTTTCATTGATTGTTGGCCAGTTTGGGTAACTGATGACGTTATTCGTGATAAATTTCCAAAATCATTATTAGCTGCACATATTTATCATGCATATCAATACACGATTCAGGTAAGCTAAAGGAAATGTATTTCTTTTTTTAAAAAAATAAATGTATTGAAAATAATTTTACTATATCTGATTATTTAAAATTATATTTTTTAATTAGAATATAAAGAAAACAACTTCTTACAATATTAATAATAATCGACAAAAGGATATTCCAGCAAAACCAAGCTCAAACTCAAATATACGTGGTGAAAGTCGTGAAAGTCGTGGAAATCGGGGAATTCGTGGCGGTCGCGGAGGTCGCGGCCGAGGTAAAAATAACGTAGATAACTTTTAAAATATAACTATCTCAATTCTTATTGAAACAATAGATTATATGCCTGGTACGGATCGAACAATAAAACAACACGCATTTATATAAGATTAAGTGCATGTTCGGGCGAAAAATAACTTATTTAGAGAGGATACAATTAGAGAAGACACTCTATACCTTATATATAAATATATATTTTTTGGGATGAAGAAATAATTATGTAGTTTTGACTAACTGTCACGTAATTTTGATCATTCACAGCCATTAGTTGCCTTTGATCGCGCCTTATAAAATTATGTAATGCAATTTTGGCGTAATGCAACCAAGAAAAAAAGATAAATAAAAATAAATTGTGTAAAAACAGATATTC